CTCCATGCAATTTTCCCCTAGGAGGGTTCAGGGCCCTGTGCCTGGAATTGGAGTTCTGAGAAGTGAATATGGGGACTGTTGTGTCCCACCCGTACCCCAACCAGGGTCATTATCCTTGATAGCAAAGATTTTCTACAAATACACTGGGAGGATGGAGCCCACTGAGATCCTTACCAGTTCAGGGTGATGGCTGCCTGGTGTGTGAAAAATAAATGTGCAGACTTCAATGTTAATATTGAGCCCAAATAACCTCAATCATAAGGTTCATGTCAGGTGAAAATGTTCGGTTTTGAAAAAGAAGAAGAGCCCTAACTGAAGATTGTAAACAGAAACCCTCCCTTCCCTGCCCCAGCTCAGGTTCCAAAATCCTGGCAGCCACGCTTACTCCTCCAGGCAAAGGAATGCAAGAGGCTAGGGTGGGGTATGGAGCTCTCCAGTCACAGGGACCCCAGATGCTCAGGCATCCTCACCTAGTTTCTCTGGGGAGAAGCACTGTAAGGCTCAGATGCTCCCAAACACGCAAAGCTCATCCCAGCTGACGACTGTTAGGAAAGAGCATAAAATCTAGATGTGATTTATTCCCACCAGGATGTTTAAACATTTTAACAGTAAAGTATTAACAAAGGGCCACATGGTGGAAGATGCTCAGGCTGAGAGTGGGGGTTGGGGTGAGGGAATTGGTAAGGGCCTGGCTATACCTGTTTGATTTGAGTTTTTTAAACCTACCAATAAGATTAAGACAAATGGAAAGATATAACTGGCTTAGGCTACGGCAGAAAAGAATGTGATCCCTGTAGTACTCAGCCAATGAGGAACCAGGGGAGGGACTCGCGCACTAGGAGATAAATTACTAGCGCCAAACTCCCCAGGTGTGCCTGCCTACCGGACTCCTGATCTTGCAAGACGGTCATTAAAGCCTCGCTCTGCTGTTGTCTTTGTCTCCGTGTCCACTTATTGAATTTGGACCAGTGAGTGTGTTTCTCACACAACCACCCGGCAAAAACACGGGAATGAGCAGGGGAAGGTCCCTTATACCAGAGGGCACCCTATGACGCCAAAGAGAATGGTAACATAAAACTCACTGTGCAAGTGTTACGGAAAACCAGAAAACCTGGACTGGATTGCTGACAGAAGAACCAAGAGGCACTCAGAGGTCTTGGAGGGGGCAGGTTTATTTCACACCTGCGGGCTCAGAGGAGAGTGATCTCCAAAGGTGTGAGCCCCAAATACAGCAGGGCCACACCTTTTATACATTTACCACAAAGCTAGCGGGGAGTCAGCACGCAGGAAACCACTGCAGTAGGAGTATTAGGTCACTATAGGTGAATTCAGGATGCTACTTCTATTTTAATCTATTTTTGTAAATGTTACTGGATACCATATTATAAAGTTCCATGCTATGATTAACAAGCTGTTCCCTACCACTGAGTCCGGATGGGGTGGGGGGGAGGATACATTGTTACATTGTTTCAATCCTAAGCACCCAAGCCCCTTGTGAATCCTCTACACTTCTGAAGCCTCAGTAGAAACCCTGTTTCCTTGGCTTCCTTGGCTTCCCACAAACCTGCCAAGAGGGAGAGGGACTTGAGAACTTTCTGAGTATTTCCTCCTCACCTCCATCCTCATGACTAATTTATTTTATAATGTCAAGTCACTTTCTCAATTTAAAGGATACTAATCATAACTTTTAAACTCCTCAGCTTGAAGTGCATCTGCCTCGTCAGCTGTTGCTTCACCATCCTGAGCACATCTTGCGTGGAAGCTGTCCCGCCCGCCTCCCAGGGCCGTCAGAACGAGTGTGCTCACTCTTCACTCGGGGCAGAGGTTTGGCTCAGGGTCCTAGGATGCACACTTCTGGTTATTTCTGTTCTGGCAGACATGCCACATTCCAGGCAGCTGCTTGGCGAGTTGCCAGTTGGTCATAGAATAGGTGAGGGGACCAGCGCACATGGGCTCCAAAAAGGATGATTTTTTGGGGTGAGGATTTGTGTTTTTGTTCTCTGTATGGCTTTTTCCCGTATTTTCCAAGAAAGGAGCTAGGCTTCTTATGTTTATAAGGCCCAAAGACAGAAGGGGCTTCAAGGACAACCTCTCTTCTTGTTTGTTGTGTGTGTGTTTTCACTGAAAATCTGAACTCACCCAAGAGCCTCTAGAGCCGGATGGAGACGCCGTGAGTGCCTTTTCACGGAGAAAGGTATCTCTAAGGGGAGATAGGGGAGAACCTCCCTGGGGCTGGCTGGGCCTCCAGCAGCGGTGGCTCCTAAGGTGGCCGTCATCAGGGGGCAGTGGACTGAGTGGAGGCTTAAGGAGGGGTGTCCTGCCCCCAAGACGTCTAGTCCTGACAGAGTCTTGGGCACGTGACCAGGCAGAGAATAGCAAAACTGCCAGTTCCAAGGGGCACGAGGCTGGTCACCAACTATCCACTGTGATCAAGATGGGCTGGAGGCTACGGGGCCTGCCTGGTATTCAGAGGCTGCAAAAGCCTTCCCACTTCCTAGGCAAGGGGATGGGGCTCCTGCAATGGCTGAGACTGAATTTCCTGCCAGCATGGAATGGCAAGCTCCGTTCTATTTGATTTATTGATAATAAAGGGGATAGTTTCTGCACCCCTGGATTGGTGGCTAATTTATTCCTGAGATGGTTGTAAATTCACAGCAGGCCCCAAACACTACTCAGATGGAAAAGAAAGCTGATTGTGCCTGATTGTCTTCTTCCTCCTTTCTCTCAAGTGGCATTTTTAAGTGTTTCCTGTGACAGAGACTGGAGACAGGGATTATAGAGCCCAGCCCGCTCCTCAGAGTGTGTGGTCCAGCAGGGAGACAGCCATATGGTGAGAGGGGTCCCCTGAGACAGGGGACATGGGGAGGGATGGAGTTCTGCCTTCTAGGTCTGGGCTGTTTGATTATAGTTGTTACCTTTATGAGTACCTCTGGGGGTTTGAAAGTGGCTAATGGCACACAGTGGGGAATTCACGAGATATTATCAAGATGTTTAAAAATTGGATTAAATCTGTATCTCCCAAGTCAAGTTCCTCAGCCCTCCAACCCCAGCCACATAACTGCTGTCACCTGACCCTCTTCTCTACCAGGCCCTCCCTCACACTGGCCCATTAAATCAGGGTTTATTAGGGGCCATCTGGATATGGATTTTGGGGAAGAGATTCACAAAAACAGAATGAGCAGCAATGAAGCAAGGACAGACTAAGCACTATGCCTTAAAACTGGACTTAATTCTATTGAAAATAATTCAATGCTACATTTTAAGTTGATTATCCTGGTCTCTGCTAATTTCTTTTTCATTTTTCTTGGGATGCTGGATATTTCTATCCATAGTACTTGGAAATAGAAGAACAGAAAGAATCAGATTTTGAAAATTAATATAAAAATACAGTATTACAGCAGGTATTTGGGGGAGGGAAGAGAATGTAACTATTTAGCTTACAGATTTTTTTTTAAGTGTGGCAAGAGTGTGGATTTCCGACTCAAAACAGTCTTGGACTCAGATCCTACTCATTTCCTATGTGACTTGAGACAAGGTATTCAACCTGACCTTCAGTTTTCTGAAACCCACCTTGATGAGTTATCGTGAAGAATAAATGACACTAAGTGTAAAGCGCCCCATGTGCCCAGCACCTGCAGCCCCAGCCCCTGATTATGTGAACAGTCAATAGATACTCATTTTCATCTTTCTCTTCACCTCTGTAGTTCCTCTAAGTCCCTCTAAGTTTCTCTAAGTCCATTGGTCCTTCTGCAATGGAATGAAAATATTATTTGACATATAAATACTCAGTATAAAAACCGGTCTCTTGCTTAAAACAACTTTTAGACCAATTTATAGGGTTCAATCATTTTACTCTAAAATCAGCAAAAATGAGAGTCAAGAGCCTGACCCATAAACACATTCCTGAGAGAGTGTTTTTTAGAAATAGCCTTATACATCTGATGTACACACTGTCCACCATGTCCTCTCTCATACAATTTGTCATGTTTTCCATCCACTGTAAAAAATTTAAAAAAAATTTTTTTAAACATGATTTCTGCTACAAACAAACATTTCAGCTTTTCCTAAGGGTTTTATTTTTTGTTTCTTTACTTCTTTTAAAAACTCTAATACAAGGATTTAAAATAGCTTTTAAAAAAATTATCAAAGGAACACATTATCAGTGTAGAGAACTCGAAAAACAGAATGTGTAAACGAGATTAAAATCACTATAAGTCTGCCATTTGAGGTTGACATTTTAAACATTTTAATCTCTCTTCTTTGTGTTTCTTTCCCAAGGCCTGATTTCCAAACCTCTTTGTGCACAGAATATATCATTCAGGTTTTACACACAAGCACCTGTGTCCCCTCTAGAATGGCAGGCGTCCTGTTCTAGTCCATCTTCACGAAATCGCCGTAGAGTAGAAATGGGACGTTTATTTTCCCTTGGAAGAGAACTGGCTGCTGGCCTCTCAGCCCTCGGCTGGTCACTCCTGCTCTGACCTTGCTCTCTCAGGCTTGCTGCGCATTTGGGCCCAGGTCCCTTCCACCAAAGGGAAGAGGGGACTAGGTCCCCTCTCTCGCTAGGAGCTCCTGTCCGTGGTCCTTTCTCCCCCTCGCGGTGTCCATCATCTGGAGCTGCAGCAGCTAGCCCCGCGGGTGGGGTGGGAAGAAGGCTGTGACCTCTGGCCATGAGAATTCTTAACTTATAACCTTGTGATTCATTTCACATGCAATCAGGAAGCAGTAAGAGACACTGATTTTTTATTTGTGTACAGATCTGGCTTTTCCCATTCTGTTGTTTCTGTCGCACGTCTTCAGCATTGACAACAGGCTTCCCAGGCCATTTCTGGGAAGTGTCACAGGGAAGAATGGGAGCCTGTATTGTGCGCGATGTGTTAGGTGCGTTTTGAAAACTGAAGGGTTATGAATCTGAATATTACTGTTTTTAAATCACTTGAAAAGGATTCAGAAGACTAGCCCAGCATCTTGAACGGAAGGCATCTTTTTCTCTTTTGCAGGTAGTGCAAGACTGGAAATTTGTAGCTCAAGTTCTCGACCGCATCTTCCTTTGGCTCTTTCTGATTGTGTCGGTCACAGGCTCCATTCTGATTTTCACTCCTGCTTTGAAGATGTGGCTGCATAGTCACCACTAGGAATGAGGGTCCTGAGCAATGTACCATAACGACAAACTCCCTCATAGAGCTGGCAGCCGCCTGGCCTGTATATACTAACACCCACATGCACGTGCTCAGGTGGAGGGCCTGTGTCATCCTCGGGGAAACTGAGCCCTGATAGTTGTGGTTTTACCATTAGAGTGAGTAGGGTTTAAGTAAACAGACTCTTCTCAGGCTGCGCCCTGGCTTCCCACAATGCTCCGGAAGGAGTCATATGTCCAGGCCTGAGGTCACGGCCAGGACGCGCTAGGACGGTTGCCGGTGGGCGGACTGAGGCTCCCAGGAAGCCGGACTGAGGCCACCTAAGGAGGCCTGCCAGGAATCCAAGGAGGTCTCTGAGCCAAGCTGTTCGTCTGGGCCGACTGGGGTCTCCTGCCTCTCCCAGTTTCCTTGGTGTGGTTTATCCTGAGTTGCAAACTGGTGCTGAGTGTTCTGCTTGCATGGCGATGTGGATGAACAAATCTCACCAGCCTTGGGGGAGAAACAGCACCTGGGACAGCACACCTGAACTCACGAAGGTTCCATGATGCTTGGTAACGAGCATCACCCCAAACACAACATTCCTTACAAATGATCTGGTCTCGCCCCAATGTGGTAACCTCTTCGTGGATTATCCATAACATCATAAAGGGGTTTTTGGTTTTTGCCAATAAATTAGCATTCTCTTACCACCAGAATCATCTGTCCAATTCCTTCTGGATGCATTTCATCCCCCACCCCCACCACACCCTCTAAGACTCACCAGGAGCCCCTTCAGATGCTTTCTGCCTCCTGAATTGCTGCTGCAAATCCTAGGTTTCAGTGTGAAGCAATCATTCTCGTGCCCCGGTATAAATACATCTCTCTCTGTATTATTTTGAGGTATGTGTGTTATAAACAGTTTGTAGCTGGACTTTTAAAAATCTCAACATAAAGGTTTAACCTTTTCACATACACTGTTTAGTCTTATTCATGCCATTTTATTTTGTGTTTTCTGTATGTTTTCTTGTTCTTTCTCTTTTTCCTCATTTCAGCCTTGACTGAGTTTGTCTGTTCTTCTTTTCTTATAATGGTTTGAAAGTTATGCATCCATCCATATTAATTGATTAATAAACACAGTTAATGTTTTTTTATCTGTGTTAAGTATTAATGCCTGCAGCAGCCACTCTCTGAATGAAATAATCACTCCTCCTCTCTCACCTTTTATGTTTAGTCTAAATCACCCAGAATTTCAGTTCCAAATGACTAACTTTTTATGTGATGTGTCTCTTTCTTCAGAATAATTTATTGACAATGCATTTTATCCACAACCACATTATAAACAAAAAACTTGTCTTATTAATTTCTTGGTTCACCACTGTTTTTTATCCTGTTTTCCGCTCATTACTTCAGAGGACCACATCTCAAAGTAATTCTTTTAGAAAAGCTTGAATGTGGTAACCTTTCTGAATCCTTGTATTTCTGAAGTTGTAATTTATTCTTCCTTCACAGAATAGGTTGGCTGGGCCTGGAATTCTGAGTTCAAAATCATTTCCCTCGGCCCAAAACAACATAGTAAAAACAGGAAGGATTCCATCTTGAAAATAAGATTGCATTTTAAAACCCAATTAGTTAAACAGTAATTTTCTTAACATATTCTTTATTTATTTATTTATTTTTATGAATTCACCACGATTTATTTATCCAGGATCTGCCATCAAGGGACATTTGAGTTGTTGAACATTTTGTACATCTTTTGGTGCACATATTGGGTGTATTTTTACAGGTTAAATATCTTGAGGTAGAATTAGCTAGGTCATTGGGTGGTGTGTATTAATGCAGCTTTAGTAGACATTACCATTCAATAAAGTATTTGTACATATTTACACTCCCAACTGGGGTTGTGAGAGTTTGGTATTGTGGGTCTTTTTTCCCTTTAGCTGCTCCCGTGGGAGTGTAGTAGTGTGTAATTTGTTGTAGTGCAATTGCTGCATAAATTAAAGACAATCTCCAAGTCCAGCAAGCAGTCAGGGATTAGTCACAGTATGGTCTTTCTGCCTAGTGTAATACAGTTTGGCCATCCACACTGATTGATGTTTGTGGAAGTGTATTTTCTTAGATGATGCAATTACAAAGGCAAAATATGCTCATACAGAAATGTGATATGGAAGCATATGCTTCCCCAGTTTTTTCCCCACCTCTGACATATACGTTCACACATGGACACAGCCATTCACCCACTATTTCTGCAGCTTGTTATTCTAATTCAACCATATTTCTTGAATATCTTCTTAGGTCAGTTATTTTTTCTTTTAAGCTTAATCTCTATTACATGACTGCTTATTATTGTATTGAGGTACCATGATCTATTTGGTCCCATCTACTAAGGTGAGCCTTTGGGTTGTAAGAGCACATTTACTGACTCAAGAAGTAGATCACAACATTAGTGAATATTGAAACATAATTGAAACATCACAACATAATTGTTAACTTAACATATTCTTTAACAAACAGATCTGTTTTACTGTGGAGTCCCAGACTCCTCAGAGCAGTCCAAGCTTTCTAAGGAAAGGGGGATCCAAGGAGCAGAAGCAGGCAGAGCAATGGAAGCTGGGCTATGCTGGGCAGAAGGTGAGTCAGCCTGGCTGATGAAGGGGTGTGTAGGGATGCCTCCGAATTTCACACCTCTCCCAGACAAGCTGCAGGTGGCCACCACCCGGGACTGCACCTGAGCCACAATGCAAACACATTTGGGATACCAAAACGTGTGACAAATGCACATGAGAAGAGAGCCCAGCCCTCCCTCCTCCCTGGGGTTGCTGAGGAGCTCAAAAGAGCTCAGAGAGGAATTCATTCCCCTCTGCCCCAGCCCCCTCTGCTCTGGTGGATGGAAGAGAGAGTTACCAGGGTCCAGGTGCCAGACTTTTCAAGTTCAAAGTTTAGGGTGCTTTCTTCGCTCCCAAGTTTGCTCAACAGCACCACCTACTGTCTCAAAAGTCAGGAAACTGTGGAGAGCCAATGTGTGCGTGAGAGCCTTGCAAATTGAGACATTTAGGGGCAACAAGCTTCCCTCCCACTCTGCCTGTACAGAGACACCCATGTAAGGCAGACCGAGGGCAGGATATCCCCAAAGGTCAGCTTTATGTCTTCTTCTCCATAGTCCCTGCCTACTCCCCTCCCACCCGCCTCCATCGAGACCCACCAACTTCCCACAGCTTTGTGCTAATTCCCATTAGCACCACAGCAATGATCCCTCCAACACTAACTTGCCCCTGATAAAATAGGTCCTAGGCCCAAATCCTGTTGTTGATCTTCTGCACTGCCCACCAGGAAGGGGTGGTTGACTGCACAGGACCATGTAGGGTAGACCTCTAAAAAAGATTTCATGGAGGACATGCTGCCCAGGAACTTTTTTTGCTTTATTTTGTATTAATTTTATTCTTTAATTAATTTTAAAGAATTAAAGTTTAATTATTTTATTAAACAGTTTTAATTGTTGAATTATAAAAATTAATTTTTAATGAAGACACGCATTACATAAAAGTTACACTTCCAAATGTTCAGCAGTGGTAAGCCCAGTCAGCAGTTCTCCAGAACTCTCCATCGCAACACCAGCCATATTTTCAACACCATTCCCCTCTCTCGTGACTCAAGTTCTTGATTGCTGTACATTGTTTTCATTGACACCGTGAGTGAGTCCCCCTCAGGTAAATCCACTGCATTGAGGAAATCTTAAATAAGTGGTTCAGGTATGTGGGGGTTAGGGGAGTGGGGGAATGTATGTCTCCAGGGGACGAGTGCCAGCTACAAGAGGCGCTTTCTAAACTGCCTTCTGAAGACAGGTGTGTGCTGTGTGGAGGGTATAGTCTTGGAGTGTGAACTGAACTGCTGCAGGTCGTTAAGAGACTTGAGGGGTTGTAAATGGGGGAGGAAAATGAGGCAGGTTTTTGCCAGCCAGGGACTTTGGGGGAACAGGGAGGTCTGATGGGGGATTTTGCTGTTTGCCCCATGGGGTAAATTCACTCTCTGGGTCCCTATGACAGCTTCAGCTTTGTAGTATGCAATCAGTTCTGAAGATAGACGGTGATGGGGTGAGTTTGCCTCAAGGTGAGAACGAAGAGCCAAGGCTCCTGGTGGGACATATGCCATATTTCTTGAGCTCCTGGGTGCCAGATTATGTGAGGGCCCAGGAATGTGGCTCCACACAGGGAGGTGACTTAGGACTCTTAGGGAGGATTCAGTCAATGGAACCACTGAGGTGCCAGTCCTCTGCACCAACAGATTGGAAGAGCAGCAAATAGCCCCGATTTCTGCAGAACTGTGTAGGATGCCCTATCGCAGCAGGCTTTTCTGGCTCTCACGTTCTATGGTGCAAGAAGTTAATTAATTAATGAAACTACTATTACAAAAATTTGAGGACCTGCTATGTGCCAGTTACAGGCTTGACAAGGCAAATATTTTCCCTGCCCAGTGCTGCATTAACTTGTCAGAGAATAAAATAAAATGAATACAAAATGTGGCAAGAAAGAAAAAACACTTTTGGTCGGGGGAGGCCTTACCTTGTAGGAGAGTTAAATAAAAGCCTTTCTGAGGGGAGACATTTAAGTCGAGAGCTGAATCCACCCTATAGGAAAGAAGCTGATCTTGCAAAAAGGAAAGTGTTACTGTCGGAACAGATAGTGTGTGCAAACGTCCTGAGACAGGAAGACCGTTCATATTTGAGAAACTGGAAGAAAACTGGTGTGGCTGGAGTATGGGGAACAAGTGAGAGAATGGTGCTTAAACCTCAAATCGTAGAGTAGGGTGAAGTGCCCGTTACAGGTCCATGAGAGGAGTAGGCGAGCACACAGATAGGGCTGCCTAGGAAGACCCCAGAGCCAGGACAGGGTGGAAACCGGGAACAAAAGCAGAGGCCTTCTGGGGGCGCGCACACACCCCGGATTTGGGGCCGAGCCGCCTCTGCTCGCGGAGAGCTGTTTCCCAGACTGGAAGAAGCGCTCCGGTCCCGGGGCTTCCTCGGGCAGCGTCCGCCCCCACTGGCCGACCAGCCTACTCGCCCCCTACACGCCTTTTTTCTTTTACTAGGTCTTGCTTGGACTCAGAGCCGATGGAATAAGAAACAAGGCAGCCCAGAAACGCTGGATAAAGCTCAGCGCGCTCACCCACAAGCTGCCGGCACGGGCGCCCGCACCCATGAGCAGACACGGGGGCGCAAGGTTCTGGGATCCGCTGGAACCTCTGGAATTCCGGCGTGGCCCCGCGGGGAGAACTTCGGGGTTGCCAGGCACCTTCAGAGGAGGATTCACTGGGAGACGAGATCCTTGACGGCAGGGGGCGGCAGGTCTCAGGTCAGGGCACTCTGCAACGCTTCCTCCTCGGTGCCTCCGCCCCACGCCCCTCTCCAGGTACCTGCAGGCACCCGGGCCCGCCGGGTGCGCTGGGCAGTCCGCAGGTGGCGGAGAGGAGCCCGACCGCCGCCCGAAAGCGCGCGGCCGCAGCGTCGGTGCCAAAGCCGCGCCGAACCCGGGCGGCGGAACCCGGTCGTTCCCTTGAGCGGCTGGTGACCCTGCCCGTCCCTCCACTCGGCTTTCCCTCCTGTCGGTTCCCTTTCTCCTTGCCCGTGGCAGTTCCGCTGTGGGCGGGTGCTCCTCCCTCGCGGAGGGCAGTGTCTGCGCCGAGGGGACGCAGTTTCGCAGCCCCTTCTGCGCAGGGCGCGGGCGGTCCAGTCAGCTCCCGGCGTGTTCACCTGGGAGGCTCCGCTCGGCCCCAGCAGCCTCCCTCCGGGCCCTGCTCTGAGGGTTTATCTGCTCCTTGGAGTTAGATGCAAGAGCCCTGGGGTGACGGGAATGATGGGGTAACGGAGCGGCCTGGAGGGGGACGGCAGCACCCGTAGCTCGGTCAAACCAAGCCCACGGACTCTTACCAGCTGTGTGACCTGGGTTGGGCAGTTTGCTGACCTCGCGTGACTGCAAACGAGGAAAATAATAACGTACCTTTTTGAATTGTTACTAGAATTAAATGAGCTGGTGCAAGTTAAGTGCGTAGAACAGGGCAGATTCAGTTCAGCATTCAACAACCATTAGCTATGATAGTAATGGCCATTGTTACCGTCTGGACTCCTTGGAAAAGCCAGATGTATTTGCTGAAAATTTACTGTTTAAGACCTATGTTTACAGTGACTTAGGCTAGATTGCAAAGGAAGACAGGCCCCAAGAACAAAATCTGATAATGCGTTCCCACGCTGATAACTCCACCCCAGGTTGAAGAAATACAAATGGGAAAATTGCCTGCCTCTATTCCTAACAAGTCACTACGTGCAATCTTTCAATTACCTCTGGCTTATTGCCTGAAATTTTGTCTTCTTTTATCGCTTTTATCTACCTGGCTTTAATAACTATCATTTTAATGGATGCATAATAGTCCACTAAATTGAAACGATCACTTAACTACTCTTGTTCTTAGACTCTTTAACATGTTTACAATTTTTCATTAGATAATACCATATAATCTTTGTTAATGAAACTATTAAAAGTTAAAATTAGTTTACTTTTTTTCTTTATGGTTTATTTCTCCAAAAGCTATGCAAATCCAGTCACTAAGAATCACCTGATAACATATTTTTCAAATAAAAGTAGCTTTCTTATATGAAAGTAATAAAATCTAAATAGATGTTACAATAAAAAATGAATATTATTCATAATCCCATCACCCAGAGATGCCTTGGAAGCATATCCTTCCAGACTTTTCTAAATATAAACATATATTAATTTTTAATATAATTTGCTTACAAAAAGGAGTCCTATGGTACAGTTTTGTCATTTATTTTTCACTTACGGCATCATGAGTACAATAGCTAACTCTTACTAGGGTCCTTACTATGTACCAGGTCCTGTTCTAAAGTGTTTTAGATATAGTCACTCATTTAATCCTCAGTATCTCGATGAGATAGCACCTGATTGATATTCCCATTTAAAAGATGAGGAAGTTAAATACTAGAAAAGTTAAGTGGCTTGCCAAAGGTCACACAAGTAAAAGGAGGAACGGTCCACATACTCAACCCCACTATATGTTTCTGCTTCACTTTATAGGTCATTAAAGTGATATGTATTCAGAAGGATAGATATAGTCTAATTTATTTAGCTAATTCTCTCTTGTTAACATTCAGAGTCCAGTTTTTTAATAATATAAACGTTTGATAATAAACATACTTGCACACACATTCTTGCGCCCTTGTTTATTCCCTTAGGATAAACCCTGGGAAATGGAATTGCTGGATCTAAGCATAACCTACTGAGGCAGGTGGCAAGGAAATACATCCCTCTTTCAGAGAGTGTACATAAAGGAGAATCTCTGCTTAAGAGGTAAGCCAATACAAATCACTATGTTGTAAAACTGGAAACCAATATAATATTATACATCAACTATACTTCAATTTTTTTTTTATGAGCCAATTGTCCTTCCTTTACACCAATAATCTCTTCATCCACTCCATCCACCTGGCCACCCGCTCACATGGTCATACCTGAGTCATTAGCATTTCCAGAAAACACACCTTTGCTGAAATACTGATTTCACACTATCTGCCTGCGGACTGTCACCTTCTGTACTTCTCTGATTTCAAGACCTATAATACTAGCCCCCATAACTTTTTCACTTTTTATCACTCCTACCCTTTTTTAAAAAGTCAGGTCTAGTTTGACACAATAACCTGCACATACTTAAAGTGCACAATTTGACATATGTATGCACCTGTATATCATTACTAGGGTCAAGATAGGGACCACACCCACCCCTTCCAGAAGTTTCCTTATGTCTACTGGTAATCCCTCCCTCTCAGGCAACCACCTATCTTTTTGTTGCCACAGATTAGTTTGCATTTTCTAGAATGTTATACCAATGGAATCATAAGCATGCTCTCTTTTTTGTCCAGTTTCTTTTACTCAGCACAATTATCTTGAGGTTCATTCACATTGTATATATCCAGAGTTCATTCATTTTTATGGCTGAGTACTGCTCCACTGCATAGATATACCACTATTTGTTAATCTATTTAAATCCATTCACCTGTTGATGGACTTTTGGGTTGTTTGTGATTACTGGTTATTACAAATAAAACTGCTATGAACATTTGCGTATGATTCTATATGGACATATATTTCCCTTTTATCTATTTCACTAAATGCCTTTAGTGAAATAGCTGGATCATATAAAAAGTATATGTTTAACTCTTCAAAAAATTGCAAAAATGTTTTCCAAAGTGATTATATCATACATTTCCACTAGCAGTGTGAGAGTTTCAGTTGCTCCACATCCTCGCCAACACTTAGTATGGTCAGCCTTCTCATTTGTATTTCCTTATTGACTATTGATGTTGAGCACCTTTCCATATGATTTATTTGCCCATGTTAAGGTATTTCTTTTCTAAATTCCTGACATATTTACTATCTACATAATCTATTGTGACTTACTATACTCAGCCTTGAAATGTTACTTCACTGTGTCATGTGAGCAAGGCTCATCTCCCAACTAGCCTGGAAGCTTCTGGAGAACAAGGACTAGGTTGTACCTGTTTTTTGCATTCTCTTTGATGCCCAGATGTGATGGGCTGAATGCATGTGTCCCCTCAAAATGCATATGTTGAAACCTAATCTCCCATGTGATGGTGTTTGGACATGCTAAGGTCATAAAGGTAGAGCCCTCATGAATGGAATTTTAGTTCCCTTATAAAAGAAGCCCCAGAGAGATTCCTCACTCCTTCCACCATGAGAGGTTACAACTAGAAGGTGCTGTTTATGAACCAGGAGGAGGGCCTCCATCAGACATGGAGTCTGTTGACACCTTGATCTTGGACTTCCCACCCTTCAGAACTACAAGGAAGACATTCCTGTTGTTTAAAAGCCACTCAGTCTATGGCATTTTGTTACAGTAGCCCAGAAGGACGAAGAGACCAGGACATAACATAGTAGGACCTTAACATAGTAGATGCTCAATACATATGAGATGGCCAGTGAAGGTAGACATTCCCTTCTCCTCTGGGCCTTTTGTTTCGCTTTTGGCTGAGACCAGACCAATGCTTCATAAATAGATGGAGAGAGAGAGAGCACTTTGCAGATAAATGAATTGTAGCCATGAATAATCAGCACAGGATTTTGCAACTAAAGCTTTCATTCCAATCAAGAATCAGTTACATTCTGGAGACATTTCCCTGAGCCCTTCGTGACGAGGACAGCTTCACTGATGCTCTGAGTTATGTAATCTATGTTGGAGGCATTGATACAGGTGACGTTGACCTGACCATTCTTGGGGATGTAGATGTGCTTTTTCTTGACCAGGTACTCCACCTGTTGGGCTGGTGATAATCACTATTTCAGATCCTGAGACAACCACCTCTAACCATCCCCAGCCCAGGGTGAATCATGGGGGACAGGGAGTGGCAGCATTTCTGGGGATTCAGAAGGGTCGTTAAAGCAGCTGCACTTTCCTCAGGAAATAATCAAAATCTGGAGTGAAGCTAGGGACTGGTGACCCGGTCAGTGAAGTTTAATGTTTAAATATAAGCCCAAGACTTGAAAGAAGGGAGCTACCCCTTCCAGACACTTACAGTCAAGTCCAAGATAGCTATGGATCCCGTTCTGCTCAGTGATGTGATCCCAGGAGCCGGGGGTGCCCAGGAGCCGGAGCTTCCCCTTCACCTTTTCCTTGATGAGCATGATGTTCCCCACAACCCCTATCAGACTCTGCTTCCTGCCAAAGAAAAGACAGTAAGAAATTAGAACATTTAGGTCTCCTGCTCACAGATCAACCTCCTCATTGACATTCCACTTTTTTTCCCTTCAAAAGCCCCCAACCAGAGGTCCAGAGGTCATGGAGCTGGGGATCTGGGATAGTTATGGATGGGAGGCGGGGTTCAATCCCTACTCATTTATGAAAACCAAGCAGACTCTTAGCAGATTTTGCCAGAGTAGCAAGGCCTTGATGCTTCCTAACCTCCTCCTGCAACCTGGAAGAGTTCAAATAATTCAAAAGCCTGTGTCCAAAGAAAACGTTCTGTTACCCATTCCCCCAAGATAGGGCAGCCCTGGGCATAGCTCCTGCTATTGGTACACAGTGGGGCCTCAGGAAATATTGATGAATGTTTGTAATAAAGAGGCAGCTATCCACGAGGAGAAGCACCTAGCAGCTTCCCGTGCATCAGCAACTCTGTAGGTGTCTGGAGGCTCAGCATCCCTTCCTGCCCCTGCCCTTCACCCTTACCATTCTTCCTGCAGAGCAGGGTTACAGAGGATGGAGGTGATAATGCGAGCACCAGTGGTAGGAGGGTTTAGCCACAGGGCCTGGGCCAAGTTCATCAGCTGCGAGAGGACGCATAGCAGGAGCTGGTTGTTGAGCGCCACCACGGCAAGGATCCCAACTTCTTCATCTGTAGCATCAGGACCAACAGCCTCACTCTCCATCTCACTTCCATTCCCAGGGCCTCCCCTTCGACTCTGCCTCCAGCCTTGTGGAAGAGAGGCTTGAACTACCCGGCCTCAGCCCAGCCCAGCCAAGCTGGTATCCAGGCCCCAGGAAGTTGCCAGAAACTCTTCTTCCAGAAAAAGTAGCCAGAAGTAAGACTCTTAAAGGTGGCAGGGACTTGAAACTCCTACCCTTTCATCCTATAGTGGAGCAAACAAGAGGCCTAAGGGGGATAAATGATTCAACCACAGTCAGTTTTAGTGGCTGAGCTGAGACAGAACACAGAACCTGACTTCTATCTCAGTGCTCTTCCCTTCTGCCTGCGTGGTGCTCTTTCTGGAAGCCTTGGCTTCCACACTGTGCCATGAGAGTGGCACCCTTAGGCACCAGGCCCTCCCTTCCCCTTCTGCCCATACCATACCATAAATGCCAAAATTCCTGGACAGAGACTGGCTGCAGAAGAACTCAAAGCCTTGGGACACAAAGTATTGCAAGAACCTAGTATCTTCTTCCAGGTCACCGGTGGTTAAACCTTGACAGGGAATGTCAAAAAATGGGAATATCTGCTTCCTCTGTTGGAAAAAAGAAGGATGAAAATGGTGACAGGTGAGGAGGTGGTGGAAGGCAAGAGAGAGGAAGGTCAGGCAGGATGTCAGGCTCACCTTCATGGAGGCCATGAACTTTGCCCACTGACTCAGTGTCATCTTGCAGCTGCTAATGTTCCCAATCACAAAGATACAGCCATGGGGGGCCTCCTGCAGGTAGAGATTGTCCTATCAGGCATGTCCCCCACCAAGTGCTGTGACACTAGAACATTCTCAGGGGACATGATCCCGTGTTGGTTCCTACTCACAGGCTTGGCAACTCCAAGCCTAAAAATGGCCTTGCATGTCTCACAGGGTGGACGGGAGGGAAAGGACCATAGAACGATCAGTTGGGTATGAGGAGAGTGTCAGAGAGGGTCTCTCTACCTCCACCACATCAAGGAGCATACTGGGGTCCATGCACAGCTGCTGGGGGTCCCAGAAGGAGTATTCATAAACTGTAAAGCCCATGTCCTGGAAGATGAGTCCATGCAGCTCTGTGGAAACACAGCCCCCGACCAGCTGGTACACAGGAAATGGAGAGATGGAGGCAGACATACAGAGAACGGGGCTGAGGGTCGCTGCCTGGAGGTAGGACGATAACAGGAAAAGGACAAGCAAACGGACAAAAAAAGGTGCCTCCACCATTTATCTCATGACTGACAGTGAGATGCAAGACCACGAAGATCGTACATGGGGTGGGAATCAGGGACGGGGGACAGAGATCTTCTATCACACTCCCCTTGCAGAACACCCACCTTTTTTAGAAGAAATGATGTAAACTATTTGGGAATCTCGATGCCAAGTTTTGAGGAACTGGGCCCCAAGCTGGAAGGCACCACTGTCACCAACTGTGTGCACGCCCCCTGCCTGCCAGCCAAAGAATAAGCAGAAATAACACTTTAATAGAGTAAAGGTGACCCTAGTACCACCTGAGAGTCCCGTCATTCTTTTCTGGAAGAGCTCGCACATCGGCAGTGTGAGCTGGGGCAGAGAGCGTGGCTTAGGGTTCTGATCCTGGCTCTGCCGTCTGGGGGCTAAGACTTTGGACTCTCTGAGTCTCAGCTGTGTCCTTTGTCAGTGCAGGGGGCTCACCAAGGTCCCTTTCTGCTTTAGGATTACACAGCCCTCCATCTCCCCTCCGCATGTCTGGGGAGTAAGGAGAGGACCCACCTTCTTACCCTGTTCTCCACAATAACTTCGTTGTACTTTCCAAAGAGGAGTTGCAGCGAGGCCTCGATGAATGATTTCATGCCCATCACTGGCTGGTACTCATGGTTGAGGGAGGGATCCTGTGCCATCTGCAGTCGGATCTTGGGGACCACGGAGGAAACCCAGGGCTGGCCTTCGTGGGTCATGCAGACTGTGTGGGAAACCACAGGGGGCGTTCCGGATAGCCGGGGCCTCCAGGTCTGCGCTCTGCAGACCACCCGCAGACAGCTGCTCTGCCCTGGCTTTCTCAGGGCTTTGGAAAATTGCCTAAGAGAAGACAATTTCCCTTACCCCAGCCCCTTGACAAAAAGAATGTGCTGTTAGCGAATGTGTGTAATTTTTGTCTTTTCCAAAGGCAACTGAAACCTATGCCATTTGAAAGGGCAAAAATGATATACAACGTGGGAGTTACAGACACATGTGACTAAGCAAAGGGACACCAACTCTCGCAGTGTCAAGGGCTGGCCTCCTATCAGGAGAGTCCACCTCAGGAAACATTCTTGGTCCGAGAGAGAGAGAGGGGAGAGGAAAGAAGCTGAAGAAAGGTCAGGGTCCATGCAGGTCCTGGAGCATAGAGCTGGGGGAGAGCACAGAGCTCTTACCAAATGCCAGGAAGCCCGCAGAGCAGGGCGGGAGACCCAACGTGACCAGGGCACTTTGGCCTCTTTGGGGACAGCTCTGTGAACGGGAGCAGGCCTCTCCACCTGCGGAGGCTGGGTGATCTCCCGATTCCTCCGGGGTGGTGGGTACCGCCCTCTTCAAGGCAGTTAGGATGTACTAGTCTTACATTCCCCAACTATTAGGCAGCTACCTCTGTAGGCCAGGAATGCCTTGTTGGGGTAATCGTCTTGCTTGTAGGTCTTTAACAGGCTGCCTTCTAGCTTCTGGGCTGGGGGCACATCCCTAAACCCTGAAAGGGTGGGCATCACCAAGACTGCTTCCTGGGGTCTTCCCTGCTTTTGCCGGGAAGCCAGGTCCTCCATGCCTGGGCCACGCAGGCCACCTCTCCCCAGAACCCTGGCAGCTGCAGTGCAGAGGCCCTGCACAGCTGGTTACCAGAGTAACAGAACCCCAGCTCCCAGTCTCCAGGGCAGCGAGCCTCAAGGGCTTTGGGAATATTCTGAGGCACTTGGGGAGAAGCCCAAGTGGGTGGAGGGGAGCAGGGAGTAGGGGGGACCTGGAATCCCCAGGCACTTCTCACTGCCTTCTCTTCTCTGGCCCCAAGTCCCCCAGTCCAAAATAACAAGTCAGCCCCTGAGGAGACAGAGCAAGAGAGGCAGCCAGTGGGCTGGGTGAGGGCTTCTCCAGCAGAAGCAGAAACCTCATACCCAGCAGTAACTCGAGGGAAGGGATCCACTTGCAAAGCTTTGTTCATTTTGCTAAGGGCTCCAGATTTGTAAAGAAATAGAAAGAAAGCACTGTTTCCTTCCATAGTTATTTTAATAAAGAGCCTTATGTTTGGAAGCTGTGTCATTTGCAACTCAGTAATCCAGCCCTATTTCTCTCAGTTACCTAAGGCCAGCACTCTGACATTTGCTGACTGCTTTAATGGTGGCAGAGAGGCAGAGGTCAAGGGTGGAAGGAGCCAGACCCTGAATAGCTGCTCCCTCTTCACCCTCTCCTAATGGGCACTCCTGCTAAAATCATGTCTCCCATGCCCAAATCCCTGTCCCAGGCTACGCTTCCAGGGAGCCTGCCTTGACCAATGATTATGCAAATGAGCATCCACGATTATGCAAATGATTAGGAAAGTTATCCCTGTTATCACAGAAAATTTGAACAGGTCAAAAAACAAAGAGCTCAGGTGTCCTACAATCAGGCCAAAACCATAGCTGATGCTTTGGTGGGCCTCCTTCCAGTTTCTCCTCTGTGTTTATACTTTAAGATAATTGATATCCAGTTTTACATGCAATCTTTATCACATTTTTTTCACTTCTCATTTCCGTTGTGGGAATTTTCACATGTTTGCGCATGAGAACATTTTATGCTGCAAGGAACACAAAACCCAAACCAGACTAGACTTAAGCATGAAAAATGATTTATTGGCTCTATCATGGGGCAGGGCAGGGTACATAAGACTTCAGTCGTGATTCAGTCCAGAGCATCAGCATGTCGCCTGGCTTCCAGCTTGATTCTCTGTGTGTCTTTGGCCCTGCTCTTCTGGATGCATCAACTTTGTTCCCCAGCTGACTCTGGGCATGGGAGCAAAGGCCTATGTGCAAGACCATATGTATTTGAGGAATTCACCCTGTGGCTCTATTTGCAAATAAACAAAATGCCGTTTACTGAAGGAATGTTTAAATGAATAATGGGACATCCATATCATAGCATTCTATGCGACTGTTAAAGGCAGCCCCTGTGTGTACAGATGTGGAAAAATCTGCGAGGTACATCTTTAAGAAAAAACAAGGGAAGTACAGAATAGAGATCAAACTGAGGGCCATCTCAGGAAAAATAAAAGATACATTTGCAGGTATATGCATAGAACATCTCTGAAAGGATACAGGGAACTGTGATGGCCTCCGGACAGTGGAGCCGGGTGGCTGGTGGATAAAGACAGGGAAGAAGGCTGGCTGACCTGCTTTTCAATCTCTACCACTTTGTGCCTTGGAAATGTTAATTCACACGCATAGATTTCCTGTTCAAAAGCAGTGTTTATGTTTTCCAGACATTGTATCCTTACTATCCAGAGGAAGAGGCAGTGAGGTCTCTTCTCTTAGCTCCCTGCAAGAATGAGGAGGCTTCCTTTCCTGAAGCCCCCAGCCTCCTTTCTCCTTTCTCTTGGCTGCAATGAGTCACAGGCCCATCCCTGACCCAGGAGGGGATACACTGGTGCATTTAAACCAACCACCCAAGCTGAGCGGGTTGTCAGTGCCTCCCACACTGCACAGTTAAGAATGGAAAGAAAGTTTCCCTAAAAGCTATTCCAGGTGTGAAATAAAATATTTTGTGGTTCTCTCACTGCGGTCCTGCAGGCCAAATATACAGCGCAAGCTGCAGAGGCTCCAAGCGCGCTCTGCTGTGAAGATGCCCTGCAGCCTTTCATGCCTGTGTCAGCAGACCCACAGTCCTTCACCCTTCACCGGGGACCAGAAAAAAACCAGCCTGGAATTCCCAAAGGAAGATAGCCCAGTCTGATTCTTGCCCCTAGTAGGATCCTTTAGGAAAATAATTAGCAATCCCAATCGATGCTTCCTCTCAAACATCTGGCTTCGAGATAGTGTCTGCTGTATGATTGACATGGCCTCCTCCCCTCACCCACGCCCGGTTGTAAAAAAGGATTTAAGCTGTTCCCAAATCAAGGGGCTTTGAAGCAGTTTATCAGAGCATGCTGGTGGGCTGCTCTGGGGCAGATGCTGAATAAACTTTTTCTTAAATGCACGGCCATGCTGGTTTCAGTCAAGACAAGTGTTCTTAGAAAGAGGAGAGGGGTGAGGGGATGCTGGGGAGGCAGTCAGCAAGTGTTCACTGCATCGTTCATCCAAAGTCCTAGAACTACCTTTTTTTTTTTTGAGAGGGCATCTCTCATATTTATTGATCAAATGGTTGTTAACAGTTAACAACAATAAAGTTCTGTACAGGGGACTCAATGCACAATCATTAATCCACCCCAAGCCTAATTCTCATCAGTCTCCAATCTTCTGAAACACAACGAACAAGTCTAGAACTACCATTTTTAATGGCTGCTTTTGTGTATGTTGGCCTTGTACTTCCAACCCTGTCAAACACCCAGGGGCTCCTGGGCTGTCTCCACAGCAGAGGGAAGCATGGCAGGCTTTTCTCTGGACTGCCCCAGCCTATGTAGAGTGACAGCAGGTGGGGAGGAACAGGACTTGGCCTGTACGGGAGGCTCTGCCTGGGGGCTGTCAGCCAATGATTGGGGATGGAGTGTTTGTGGCCCCAGATTCCCATCCCTCACTAACCCAGATACAAACAGGGTTATATTAACTAGGATAACCTGTCTTTTCTTACAGAGTGCAGGACCACTAGCCTGAGTTAGACTTCCCAGTTGTTCCTGGAGATTCCCAGGGCGTGTTCGTGTGACTTCGGGGGTAATACTCTCACGGTTGTCCAGTCCTAGCCTCGCAATGACATATGTTTTTCAGGGTGCCACTTGCGTTCAGCATTTCTCCTGCCCCAGATACTGGCAACATCAGTGCGGATGCCCAGGGTACATTTCCTGAAACCTCAAATGTCACAAACTCCCATCTACCGAAGCAACCTGCACATGCGTGGGACTCTCAGAGGCCCCTGGAAATGGTTCCCTCTTACCTGCCTCCCTTTTCAGCCACAGCTCTCAGACATGAGACACCACCCCTGCCGAGAGCCTCAGGGTGTAGTGAACAGAGGGTGTTTGGTGCCAGGCCGACCTGGCTTTCCATCTCAGCTCTTTCCCTTAGTACCTGTATGGCCTTAGGTAAGTCATTTAAAATCTCTCCACCTCCGTGTATGCATTTTTAAATGGAGATAACAAACGTTACAGAACTATGGGAGGTTTTTATGGAAATGGCATGTCCCTCTGGCTGTTACAAAGAGAAACTCCAAACTAAAGTCCCAACACAAAAAGTTTTGAACATAGAGTGATAGTACAGAGTTCTCAGGAGGGCTTCTGAAATAAAACCGACATTTGAACAAACTAGGGCTTTAAAGCGTTTTCCCCAAAAATTGCCAGTCTGCAAACAATGTCGGGGCACTGGTAACAAATAATACTCACCAAAGGTGGCTGCTGGGGCACAGGGGCCCCTCCCTCAGCCCCTCTCAGACTCAGCCAAGGAGGACAAAGGGTAAAGGGGTTTCCTAAAGGGAGGTTGGGGAAGGGCAGCTTTACTAGCTGGTCCAAAGAGCTCATTCTGTCGTCAGGAGCATGAATCAGAGAGACACTGATGCGGTCTGCACCCTGCACCAGCGACTGCTGCTTGTTGTTCCCTTCCCCACTCTTCTAAATGGGGCCTTTATGGCAATTTTCCTCCCAGCGTTGAACACGATGGTGTACTGGGGAGTAGTCAAAGTCATTTTTAGTCCATAAGCTGCAGTGCCGCGAGGAACCGTTTCAGGTGAAGAAAATGCACCTCACCCAGAGATCCCGGACTCTGGGCTGGTGCTGGATGTGATTTTGGATTTTTCCCTTTGGGAAGGAAAAAGTGAGTTTTCACTTGCCGGTGGGAAAATTGCATTATATTCGGTGGGACCATCCTTGGAATTACGTGTTTGTGGAAAAGAACAGGGGCTGATGAGCAGCCAAAAGGTGGACAGCAGGGAGTTTTCATTAAGTCCACCCAGAACCCCTTTTGCTGCTCCTGGTAACAAACCCCATCCACTCTGATGTGGCCGTCAGAGTTCAGCCAAGTAGACAACTGCCGTGAGTGATAACGGGTTTTCTAGGAATCAGACCTCACACAATTGGAGGAGCGCCTGGGGAAGGGAAGGTCCGGAGGCGAGAGCTGGGAAAACAGAGAGAGCTCATCCACCGGGCTGCAGGAGCGCAGTGGATGGACGGTCGGAGCTGGCAGGGAAATCTGAGAAGCTGGACACATCCAGCTGCAGAAATGGGGCCATTAAAGGGGACTGTGTGGAGAGGTCTCCTGGACGATACGGCTTTTGTGCAATGACCGTGTCTGTGGGTCTGCACCAGGGGTCTGGTGGTGGGTCCACACGCTCCGACAGTCCGCGGCCCAACAGTCTGGAAGCAGAGCTGGCTGGGAGTGGACGAGAGTCAGCCGACAAGCCAGGGCCCGCCCACCACCTCCGCTCCTGTATCTCCCCCTGCAGTCCTTTCGGGGTCAATGCACGCAGCCTCGCTTCCACCTCTTCGGTCAACTCTACCCTACCCCCTGAATTTATGGAGAAGACGTTTTACATTTTTGCCTCCACCTCTTCACCTCCCAAGTTCCGTCGTGCCCGGGCTCTGATCAAGATTTATTCACCT